TAAGCAGTTTATGTCTGCTAAATGCAAGGGCAGTGAACATTTCTACTAAGCAGTAGCATCTAGGGAGGTAAATCTTGTACTTCTCATGTTATATGCCATATCAAAACTCATACAGGATTTAACAAATACAGCAAGTGTCAGTATTGAAACCAAGGAATCAACAAATGCAAAATTTACAAAATGACATCATGGGAACTGGTTTGTGGGAAAACATACACCAGAAAAAAGTTCATCTGCAAAATTATGTCCTAATAAATTTTCTTTTGACAATTTCTCTAGATCTTGCAAACTAGGGGTTTCTAAAACAGAGAATTTCTCCAAATGTCCCTGAAAACATGAAGGACTCAATTTTATCCCAGGTGAGCCTCCACATAAAATATAAGTATACTCTGGCCCATTCTCTAAGGGCCAGGTATGTTAGATTTCATACATACACACACACACACACACACACACACACACACATTCTCCTATACTTTGAGGGCTTTATGGAATTCTCCACTCTCCTATTATTGGTGTAAGCCCCCACTGAATATGTCCCTTCTTTTTCAGTGGCCCACTGACTTGTACTTTCATTCCATTAAACAACTTGACAAAAGATTAGCTTTTACAAAGAAATATTTACTTCTAAGACCCAGCAAGAACAAACTAAACCAACATTTTTCCCAATTCTTTAGGGTCATAGTTCTACCTTCTACATAATTCTCTGGGGAGGGGAGAGGAATTAGAATCACAGTTTAACTCAGTTCTTAAATAGCATTACAAGTTTGAGTACAAAACCCCACCTTGGCTAGTATCCTGAACCATATTCCTTAAAGCTTCTTTGTTGGTCTAGAAGGCAACATTTACACAGGAGGGGCAGCTAGGTGGTGCAGGAGATAAAGCACTAGCCCTGGAGTCAGAAGGACCTGAGTTCAAATGTGACCTCAGACACATAATACTTACTAACTGTGTGACTCTGGGCAAGTCATTTAATCCCAGTTGCCTCACAAAAAACAAAGAAACAAACAAAAACATTTACACAGGAAAAGAAAACTAGAATTTTTGACTAAACATATGATCCCCTACAAATAGTCTTCCAGTGGACATTATTTAACCTTCATTGTGGCTCCCACCAGAGTCCAAACCAATGCTAGACATCACTTTAGGCCTCTGATTTAATGATCTCAACCTCTCACATAAGCTAAACACAATAGATTCCTGGTGAAATGAAACATGGTTTCTCAATTAGTTTTTCTTACTTGTGTATTATATGATGAAGTGGAGATCAAGGAAGTCCACAAATAAAAAATGCCTAATAGTTTCTGTCATTATCTAGGTATCTCCCCACTACCAGCAAACCTGAGAATCAAGACTTTTCCTTCAAAAACAATGTCTCCATTCCTATGAGCCATCTTTTTCATCTTGTCATAGAATCAACAAAAGTGAGTTTTTACTGTGTTTTTCTTTAGTCCAATATCACAACATTTAGAATTACTTAAATTTACAACATCTCACACTAGCTTGTACCAACAAGCATAAAGAAGTGCTAAACTTGGAGTGAGAATACTTGGTTCTAAATCCCTATTCAGATATTTATTGGTTCTGTAATCACAAATGAGTGACTTAGCTGTTCACTTTCTTTTTTAGTAAAATGAGGATACTTTGCTGTGAAGACAGTGTCTTGCAAACCTAAGATGCTATAAAATGTAAGTTATTATTATTCTCTTGCATGAAGAATTCAAATATAGAGAATATTGATCATATTTTAGAATAATAACTCAATTGATTATACTTATTTCCCTTGGAACAATGCATGTGTACATTATTGTGATGGGCAAAGGTGGAAGGAATGGACTATATTGATCATTTGAATATATTTCTTGTGATATTCATTGGAATATCCAATACTCACCCATAGTAAACTATCATTTCCTAAGTAGAAGTAATTTTATATGACTTTTTGTTCAAAAATCAGTATTTTTTGTTCATACTAAATATATGGTTTTATTGTCCTTTATTAGAGTATACAAATCAACATAATAAGGAAGCTGCATGTACACAGAAAACTAACTCTTTTATAGTTCATTCTCATTACTTTCAATGATAATTCTCATTCTATTTTACAGATGAAGACTCTGAGTCTAAGAAAGGTTAAGTAACTGGTTTAAGGTAATATATCTAATAAGTACAGAAGAAAGTATTAAAATCCAACTCTTTCTTTTTAATTTTTTTCATTTTTTCAAATGAATAAACCAAGCACCTCCTCTGACATAAAAAATCTAGTTCCTTTCCGCCATACCATGTAGTGTTCACCCAATATATCTGCTCCAAGAGAGAGAAGATGAGAGTGGAACAGAGTGGAGATGGGCATTTAAAATGATAGCTCTGTCCTTCCTTCATTTTCATGATTTCCAGTTGAATTTATTTGAGCTTCCAACGATGTCTGCTTTACATCAATTTGTGTGCAGAGGCCGTGGCAACACAGACAGACCACTGTGACTATTTAAATTGATTATCTCAATTATGAATCAATGAAAATTTCAAGCTCATTATTTGACATACCTTAAGAAAAGGAAGTGGTCATTACATTGACTTTCCTCCCGTTTTTAAAATAGGTTCAGACAACTCTCTAGTCTGATTGTATGGGGGAAAAAAAGGATTTGTGAGAGAGGGTTTCAGAGCTCAACCAGAGGAATAAAGAAAAATGAATCCATCTTCCCAAATGTTTTCAGGTCCAGACTTTAGGGACCGCCACAATAGCACCAAGAAATATTCATTGACACCTGCAGGCTTGGCTTTTATTCTTCCTGCTTAGCCCCTAAAAGCGGTGGGAAGGAAAAATGGAATGGACTGCAATTCAAATCCAGCAGTTTAACTCAATGTCACTAATTTTCCAGAATGATAGGAAAGAATAAATAGTTGGGGAAAAGATGGATTCCAGGGCATCATCTATGAATTTTGATTACCTATGTTGTTTTTATTTCCACTTTTCTTCTTAATGAAGGGAGGTTCAGAAGTTGTTTCTATGGCATAAAAGTTTGGAAGCACATGTAAATAAAAGCCAGCATGAGGTTTGAAGATTGTCAAGTTCCTAGATATTGCAGAATCACAGAACCCGAGAATCTGAACAGGACTCAGAAGAATCTAATCTAACAAAGAATCCCTTTTACAACATCAGAAATAGATTGTCATTTAGTCTCTACTTGAAGACCTCTAGTGAGGATTAATGCACTGCATTGTGAGGCTGCCCATTACATTCCTGGATAGTTCTAATCATTAGGGAAATTTTCCTTACATCAAAGCTAAATCTACCTTTCTGCATTCTTTATCCATTGCTTTTAGCTCCTCCCTTGGGAGTCAAGCAGAATGAGTCTCCATATTGTCTGCATATTGTCTCCATATCTTCTCTTCTCCATGTTAAGCATGCCAGTTTTATCTACTGATTTTAAAAAATGGACTTTTAAAAACATTTAACATTAGGATGTCCATCCTAATGTAGCATTGCTTTATGTTTCATTTAGGTTCAACATGTTCTTTTGGTGTGGTAACTATTTAGAGGCTTAGCTTGAGCCCCTACCCAGTGTGTCACTCCATTCTGTCAAAGAGAATGACCACTATACTAGAAATGATGCAGCAAGACATCTAAGTATGAGACACCTAGGTTACTCAGTGGATAGAGTTCATGGCTTGGAGTCTGAAAGATCTGAGTTCAAATCTATCCTTAGACACTTCCTAGCAATGTGACCCTGGGTAAGTCACTTAACCTCTGCTTCAGTTTCCTCAACTATAAAATGAGGATAATAATAACAATTATTTCTCAGGGTGTTTGTGAAGATCAAATGAGGTTGTATTTGCAGAGTATTTTACATAGTGCCTAGAGCATAAATGATGATATAAGTGATCATTCTGTCCCCCTTCTCCCAACAACAGTAGCTAACAGGGAGTTGGTGCTCAAAAATGAATTAAAAGTTAAAATAAACAAGCCCCAAGTGGCCTTTGATGAATTCAAGTAACTTGGCTCTAAGTCCAATCTCAAGTACTGAAACAATTAGCACATGTTATTACTAAAACACTGACAGATAAAGCCCTATCCAAAGGGCAACATACCTATCCTTAGACAAGACCATTAAGCTCCAATTTCCCCTCTGCTTCTTTTGTCTCTGGTACCTGGCACAGAGCCTCATGCAGAGAATGTGTTTAATAAACGCTTGTTGAAGAGACTCACAAGCAGGTGGACTTCAGGAAAATCTGGAAAGACTTGTATGGTCTGATGCTGAGTGAAGGGAGCAGAACCAGAAGAACGTTGTGCACACTAACAGCCACATTTTGTGATAAATTTAATAGACTTAGCCCTTCTCAGCAATGCAAGGATCTAAGTCATCTCCAAGGGACTCATGGTGGAAAGTGCTATCCATATCCACAGAGGGAACTGTGGAGTCTGGTTGCAGGTCAAAGCATACTATTTGCTCTTTTTTTCTGTTTTGTTTTATTTTTTCTTTCTTGTGGCTCCTCCTATTGGTTCTAATTCTTTAATTTTGGTATGACTAATGTGAAGATATGTTTAGTAGGAATGCATATGTAGAGCCTACATCAGAATGTACATTGTCTTGGGGAGGAGGGAAGGAGAGGAAAGGGGAGAAAATTATGGAGAGAAATATGGAGAGAAAAAGCTTATGGAAGTGAATGTTGAAAACTAAAAATAAATAAATAATAAATAATAAAAATAAATTTTAAAAAGTTAATTAATTAAATATAAATTTTTAAAAAATAACTTAAAAAAATAAATAAATCTTTTTTGTTTGATTCTTGACCTTTAAATAATACATGTATCTGGGTGGAAGATTGGAGCTAAGGAAAAGCAAAAAGGATGATGTGAACATTTCTACATCTGAACACTAGGGTGCAGTGTTCATAACAAAATGCTTTTCATGTTTACCACAACTTTCACATACTTGGGGAAAACAGATCTGGTTTTTGATTGGCCTAGGACCCAGTCCATTCTAACAGAGACAGTAGCAACAGGTGACACACTTTAGTGGGAGAAGCCTGTAGAAGACCTGTCAGTTTCAGCTATCATTGATAGAAGGACAACCAATGAAGATGCTACTGGGAACCTTATTAGTCATTCTATGGCTACAGCTGGCCTGTGAGTTTGCTTAGATATCCTGATTCAGTCACAGGGTGTGATCTAATGGAAAGGATTGAGATTCTATTTCAATCATTCTATGGGTACAGCTGTTCTCTGAGTTTGGGTGGATATCCTGATTCAATCACAGGATGTGATTTAAAGGAAAAGATTGAGATTCCTGGCTCCATCACCAATGTACTCTTCAACCTTAGACAAGTCATTTAATATCTCGATGCCTTGGTTTTCCACATCTGTAAAATGGGGGTTATAATGCATAGGGAAATTGTGAGGCTCAAATTAAAGTGGTTTAAGAAAATAATGGTTCTAACGGCAGGTGAAGTATTTGAAGTATTATAGTTATCTGAAGTTGTGGTCTATAAACATTGTTTGTTATGTTAGTCACCCAGGAATCTACAGGAGCTTGGAAAACATTGGACAATATTGATGTTGATGGGGGAGTGCCAGAGAAAGATAGAATTAGTCACCATTGTGAAAATACCAATCTGTTAAGAATCTCTTGTATTTCCATTATTTTTTTCTTAACAGGGGTGAGTACTCAACAGCTGAATCAGAGTCCTCAGTCCATAAGCATTCAGGAAGGAGAAGACTTTATCATGAACTGCAGTTCCTCGACCAATGTGCCCGCTCTACACTGGTATAGACAGGATCCTGGGAAAGGTCTTACCTTCTTGATGGCATTGATTAAGGGGAAAGAACTGAAGCGTCAGGGGAAAATAACTGCTCAGCTTGATGAAAAAAAGCAGCACAGCTTCCTGCTCATCACAGGAACTCAGCTCAGAGACTCAGCCAGATACTTTTGTGCTTATGACACAGTGTCTCCTAAACACCTGATGCCTATACATAAACCATTCAAGTGGGACTCTAGCTGCACGATGTGCCAGGGATGCTCCTGCGATAAAAGTAGAATATTTCTCAAAAGGATATGCTTTGTAGGAAAGAAATATAGGGAGCTGAATACAAGAATATGACTTGAATACAAGAAATATATGTTACAATAGTAGCATGGAATAGTGGAAATAGTGGATTTGGAATCTGAGGCCATGGCTTCAGGCTTCAAGCTGTGCTTGCTGCATGTGACTTCAGGCAAGTCATTTACACCTTTCTTGTCTTAAGTTTCTTCATATGCAAAAATGAGAGAAATAGACAGATGTTTCTCTATTAGATATCTTCATGCTACAGGACTTTAACATGAACACTAATGTTTCCTCAGACAGCCTATACAACTTAGTTTCATGATTCCTCAATTTATTCATTTCCTATGACCTACTTTTCTACACCCTTCCATCTCAGCTGCACACAGAGATGATCATACTCTTTTCTTCTGACCATCTATAAGCATTCCATTTCCATGTTCGTGAACTTAGAAGATCTTTCATTTGATCATAATCTTTTAATTATCTATATTTCCTTCTGCTTTTTGAAACTTAACTCTTGATTCTCATCATCAGTACCAATCCCTCTATCTTCTGCACTGGCTACACTTTCTTCCCTTCGATATCTTGATCACTTGGTGAACCAGTATAACTCCATCATCCTCTACCCTTGAGTTCCTTGCCTCTCTCTATCCTGTCTTCAATCATGCCTTGCCAAACTTCAACTTTAGATTACCACTAGCATCTGCTGACTTTACTTTTGTTCATGTACTACTGAATAGAGCTGTAGAAAAATCACAAAACCAGACTATATCCCAAATTTATGTTCCATAATCTCAGTTGATTACTCAATGCAGCAAAGCAGTTCTTTTACACCTCCCTAATCTATTCACTATCTTATTTATTACAGTAGCTTTTCATCATTCATAATTACTACAGTAGCTTCCTATCTGAAGACCTTTTTTCATACTTCAATGAAAAAATTGAGACCATTTACCAAGAACTTCCTCTTAACTCCTCCACCTTATGACTCAGATAAATTCTTTGCTATCTCCTCACTCAACCATATTTCACTTGAAAAATTGACCCTTCTCCTTGCCAAGGCAAACCCTTCTATACACACAAATGATTCCATTTATTCCATCTTTTCCAGCAGATTGCTCTCTCTCCCATCCTTACTCTCTCTAATCTTCAATTTCTCCCCTCCCCTCCTCTCCTCTCCTCTCCCCTTACCTGAGGGTGTTCTACCCAAAGGAAGGTAAATGGCTGAAACCTACTTATTTAACTTGGGGTTTACTGGCTAGATTTCTTTCTCAAAGACCAAACCTTAAACCCAATTCACTCTGGATCTCATGGATTGGACAACAATAGGTCCCTGCCTAAGCACCACTTAATGGTTATTTTTTGGGTCCTCCTGACTCAGAGTGAATGTAAATAGTAACTGTTTCTCTTTTGGCCAGCAACCCTGAAGGACTTCTTCCCCCAATTTGATCTTTTTTTATTAAATGGACCATCCCTTGATTTGCTTCTTAATGAGGCCTATTCACTGAATGGGTGTTGCCTCACTCAAAGTGGGAACCTGAAAATACCTTAGCTTAAAAAGGCCAAAGTCTCCCACTGCATCCTGGGCCATCTTCAGTCATCTTGATAGATATCTGGCCCCTAGACCCAGATGGCTGTGGAGGAGAAAATGAGGCTGGCGACTTTGCACAGCCCTCCCTCACTCAAATCAAAGTCAATTGCAAGTCACGTCATCATCTCCCTGATGTCATGGCCTTCTTAGAGAATGAAGGACAAACCACAACAACTACACACAAGTCCTCCAAATGTACTGGCTTTTTCCTTGTTGCCTATAAACACATTTATGTCTCCCCCTTCTTTAAAAATCTCCCAGTTGATCTAATCATTGCTACTATCTATTTATCTATTTATCTTTCCTTCTGTCTTTTTTTTTACACTATCATCTATCCATTCTTTTGTGGTTTAACTTCTTGAGAAAGTCATATGCAATCAATTCATCCACTTCCTCTCCTCTCACTCTTTTTTAACCCTTCTGTAGACTGGCTTCAGATCTTGTCATTTAATGGAAACTTTCTCCAAAGTTGCTTAAAATATTTAATTGCCAAATTTAATGAACTCTTCTTGATCTTCAAGCTTCTTGACCTCTCTGCAATCTTTGACACTGTCAATCACCCACTTTTCCTCAATACCAGGTTGTCATGACACTTTTCTCTCTTGGTTCTTCTCCTACTGGTATGACCACTCCTTCTCAGACTCCTTTACTGAATGTTCATCCAGGCCATATTGACTAACCACAGTCATCCTTCTCTAGGCTCTGTCCTAGGCCCTCTTCTCTTATTCCTTTATACTGCATCAACTGACAATCTCATCAACTCTCATGGATTCAATTGTCATCACTATGGAGATAATTCTTTACTCTATCTGGCCTTAATGTCTCTCTTGACCTCCTGTCTTACATCATCAGCTACCTGTTGAACTTTGAACTGGATTTTCCATACATATATCAAACTCAACATTTCTAAGACAGAACTCATCTTGTCCTCCACACTATGCTATTTCAAACTTTCCTCTTAGTGCCAAGGGTATCACTATCCTTTCAGTCACTCAGGCTCATAACTTTAGTGTTATCTTTAGCTCCTCACTTGCATTCACTTTACACACTTAATCCTTTTCCAAGTCTTGTCATTTCTACCTTTACATCTTTCATAGCTGTGCCCTTCTCTTCACTCACACAGCCACCACCCTCATGCCTAGACTCTCATAACTTTATGCCTAGATTATTGCAATAGGCTCCTGATTGGTCTCCCTGCCTCTGAGTCTCTTCCCACTCTAGTCTACCCTCTACTCAGATATCAGAGTAATCTTAATCTACCTAAAGCATAGATCTAAACTCCAGTGGCTTCCTGTTATCTCCAGGATCAAATATAAAGTCCTCCATTTAGTTTTTAAAAAGCATAACCTAGCCTTTTCCTACATTCCCATTCTTATTATGCTTTACTATCTTCCATACACTCTATTATTCAGCAATCTTGGCTTTGTTGCTGTTCCTTAACGACACCACTCCATCTCCTCCCTCTGTGCATTTTCATTGACTGTCCCCCATGCCTGGAATTCTCTGCCTCCTGGCTTCCCTGACTTCCTTCAAGACTAAGTTCATATTTTGTCATCTGCGGGAGGTTTTTCCTGGTTTCCCCTCCATTCACCCTTCCACCCACTGTTAGTGTTTTTTCTCTTAGATTATCTCATGTTTACTATATGTGTATTTATAAATATATATGACTATTGACATATATATACATGTAAACATAATATATGTGTATATTATGTATGCATATATCTTGTGTATATGTACTATATTAATATGTTAATATATTATATATCCATTATATCTTACTTGTACATAGTTTTTTGTATTCCATTTCTCCCATTAGATTGTGAGCTCCTTGAGGACAAGTACTATATTTTTGTCTTTCTTTGTATCCCCAGTGCTTAGTATGGTGCCTGGAACATAGAAGGTGCTTAATAAATGCTTGCTGTTATTGCTACTATTGATGATGATGATGATGATGATGATCGTCTAAGGTCTTTTCCAGTTCTCAGAACTACATGTTAGCATTTGAGAAGGCTGACCAAGGGGAATGGGGTGTGTTTCTGAGGTTTTAGGGGTACATATCTGCTCACAGCTGTTTATAGACATTTGTGATTTATGGTGGATAGAGTATTGGACTTGGAGTCAAGATGACCTGTGTTCAAATCCTGTCTTAGATAATTACTATGTGACCATGGGCAAATCACTTACAATTTGTGTACCTCAGTTTCCTAATCTGTAAAATGAGGGGGTTGGACTCAGCCTCTAATGTCTCTTCTAGCTGTAAAGGTATTATCTTGTGAACCTATATTTATGTCACAGGCCTAGTTAAAGCTGAGAGACAGTCTTTTTCCCTTTCTGTTTTCTATTTTTTTTACATTTAATTTTTATTTTTTTCCTCAATTACTTTTGAACAAAAAATTTTAATATTCATTTTTTAAAGTTGTGAGTTCCAAATTCTCTCCTTCCCTCCCCCCTCCTTGAGAGGGCAAGCACTTTAATATAGATAATCCATTATACACTTTGATATGCATCATACATGGTCATGCAAAACATTTGTATATTAACCATGTTGCAAAAGAAAATACAGACCAAAAACAATCCAAAAATAATAAAATAAAAAAGTATGCTTCAATCTGCGCTCAGACTCCATCACTTCTTTCTCTGTGAGTTAAGATCAGGTTCTATATATGCAATGGGTATATATGGAAACACCTTTAAAGTATACGTAATGTGGGATTATTATGTGTTCTGGGTCCAAGGGTCACCCACTCCATTTTCTTTATACAGTGATATCTATACTTTGATGAGAAGCCCAGTTAGTTTTTGTTTTTCAAAATATATCTGAATTCCAACTTTGTCAGTTCCCCTGTAGTCTCTAAATGAGAAAAAAATGAATAAGCATATTGAGAATTAGAAACTAGGACAGCAGAGATATAGAACTGAACATCAATGGCTCTCTAATCTAAGTCCCTAACATCATGATCTTTTAATCTTATAGAATGAGAGGTCCAGATAAAAGATGGCCACTTGTACTTATGAGAATTTATTCTATATTCAGCTTGTAATGGCTTTAGGGGGCAAACCACATGGCTGGGGCTGAGGAGATCTGAATTCTATTCCAAGTTCCCCTAATGTCTTATTATTCAATTTAGAGGAAGTTTCAGTACTGCCCTACATTAGAGTTCCTTCTGTGTTGAACTATAAGTTCAGCTATCTGTGAAACAAGGATACTAATATGGATTTCTCTCCCTCATTACACAAGGTAATCCGTCTTAGATCCGCCAAGCTTCCTTATTCAGAGCTTGTGCCCAATTCAAACAGTTCTTGTTATCTTGGATGAAGAGCTACCAGCACTAGGTAGGTAGTCCACCAGTGGATGGCTGGATATAGGGTAAAGGGAAGGCTTTCCACTCACCAAAATGGCAGGAAACAAAAGTCAGAAAAGGTAAATGTGACTACTGTTCATTGAAATCAGCAAATAGAT